AAATACTCTGTAGTGGAGATATATGAAAAATTATGGGAAATAGTTATGGAGCTATTTTAGTAGACAAGACAAAGCCTAGAGTGATATTCTAGAGATGGTGAGAAGTGGTTTCAATCTTGTTATATTTTTACTAGAGGCCCAATGCATGAAATTTGTGCAGAGTAGACCTTGGCAGCTGTGGCTGCCTGGATTCTGCAGCTGCAGCCCCGGCTTCATCCTGGAAGGATGTCCGGAAGGATGTCTGGTCTAATTAGCATATTACGCTTTTATTATTATAGATAGGTAGAAACTAAGGATTTGTTGATGATGGGATATGGGGAAGAAGACAGAAGTTGAAAATGCCTAGTAAAATATAGCCTGAGTGACTGGAAGGATTGAATTTCCATTAACCTGAGTGAAAAGAAGGTTGAAGGAAGAGGAAGTCAATTTTTTACATATTTAACTTGAAATATCTTTTAACATCTAATAAAGGCTGTCAAGTAGACATTTAGGTATGAGTTTGGGAAGCAGTATGGGCTAGAAATATGCATTTGCAGTTTTGAGCAAACTTGTTTAAATCTTTGAGATTTGATGACATTTTTAAGCAAATGAATGTGGAAAATAATCAAAGATTGATTGTAAGGTGCTGAGGAGACAGAAGAACCAGAAATGAAGACCCAGGAGTACATATATCCTGAAAGCTAAGGAAAGCTTTTGGAAAATTGCTTCCATTTCTGAGTTAAACAGAAATTAGAGTCACTAGCTGAGGATAAAGATGGGGTAGGATAAATTGGAAACCTGAGGAGAAAGTGTTAAATAACCACATAGGGAAGAGGGAGAAGGAATAAAGTAGCAACATGAATCATAACAGAGGGATGGAATTTAAGGTTTTAGGGTATTCTCATGCATTACAGTGCCATTCTAGATTAGCTGCATTTCCAAGTTTCAGCTCTGTTATAGTTGCATGTTATTTTTCATAATACTTGACATATTTTATAAAATTGAATAAACTGACATTTTTACCTAAATAAACTGATTTCAAAAAGGAGATTTTATATCAGAATCATAAATGACAAAAACAACAGTACTTGCCATAAAACATACACAGTAATTAATATTAAAATATATTATTAAACATTAACATTTTGTTAAAGGGCCAACAACTTATTACCAGGGATACCCATCCACACTTTGGGAAACTCTGCTATACTGAACTTCAGTACTTACTCTCAGGTAGTTTAATAACATAAATCAGAACTTGTTTGCCTAAGTGAGAAGAGAAAAGATTATCTAAACCTATTGATTTTGATCTATGTTAGAATCCCTAAGGGCAGGTACTTTGTCTTAATGTCCTGTGAAATGTGTAGAATCATTCTGTGTATAGAGTGCATGCTACCTAGTGGTATTTGATGGCTGCATTTGTCTTTAACATGAGCAGAATATTAGATTAGTGAAGGTTTGTTTCTTGAGCAAAATTCCTACTTAACAGTGTCTAAACACACCACTTAATACTTTTATGTCCGTATTGGTGGTTCTGAAAAATGGGTGGCTTCAATTTAGATGCAGTGATTAATTTGGTGGAGCAGGCTAGAAAGAGTAGTTGCTTTGATCTTTAAAGATAGTTTTTGTCCTTCAGGCAGAAAGAAAGGGAAAACCAGCTTTGTCTTAATTTATCATGTTGCTAAACGTGTGTCAGCACACCAATGACTAAATTCCATTACTGCTAGCTATTCAAAGTGAGCCTCATTCAATCATGACCTCGGGTTGTTTATCTGAGGCTAAATACAACAGGAGCTCCTTGCTCCTGCTGCTCAATTCACTGGGCATGTTCCTACCCCATGGCCTTTTCACTTGCCAGGCCCTCTGCCTAGAAAGCCCTTCCTCATGTGTCTTGCTCTCTCACTTTTTATAAGTGTTTACCACATTTTCCTGATAGTCTATAAATAAGTGAAAATCCGTACTCTGTCCTCCCTATCTTCCTTCCTGAATCATTTTATATTTTAATAACACTTATTTGGATCTGAAGCTATAAACTTTAATTAATTACTTTTTTCTTTCTCCCAAGTTTCAATATAAACTGCACAAAGGAGGAATTTTTTTTTTCTGTTGTTCACTGGTTTCTGTTGTTCTGGTGTTTAAAACAGTAAAGATGTTCAATAAATGTTTATTGAATTAATGAGTGAAAACTATCGGTGTTATTGTTGTTATCTTCCTTTTGTAGGTAGGTATCTATCCTGAGAGGAGATAGAACAGCCAGGGCTGGAACCAGGTGGCTGACTCCAGAGCCTACCCAGTAAAATGTAGGAAAGATGAGTGCTCCCATACTCCTCTCAGACCTTTAGTGAAGGGCTCAGATTTGACCTGACTGATGAAAATAAAAATATAGGAATGTTTTTGTACTAAGGATAAGTGATTCTTTAAAAATTAAACAGTTACTATTATCTCTAAATTAAAAAATATGCATTTTTCCAATTAAGTAAATTATAAAGAACTCTAATTGGAATGGTGTCAGAAAAGTAATATAATTGAAATATTGTGTATTTTGCATTCACCTATTAGGTTATTATGAGACTTAAATGAGAAAAGGCATGCAAATATAGTTTCTGATTTTAACTTGAAGATTCACTATTCAATAACATATATAAATTTCTGTCGATCATTTAGAGAAGGCTGGCTAGAATCATAATTAAAAAAATTTTTTTTAACGATTTTACAAATGTGTTTTAGGACACATATATGCACATGATCAAATCTTAATACTTTAAGAATCCTTGCTTCTGCTGATTTCTCCAATTACTTGTTTTCTGTGTTATTTCTCCCTTTAGATATTGGCAAGTAGATATATATGGTATTTATACTAGAACTAACCCTTGTAATGGATAGATTTAAGAACTCTGAGCCAGATGACATCATTTCCCCTTGTTTAGTTGACTGAGAGATTATGAATCTTCTCTAATTACTACACCATTTGCCACAGATCCTGAAATAACAACAAAGAATTTCCTAAGAGGATAAAAGAAAGAAAACAATCAAATGAGGATTTCCTTCTAAATCCTGGGTCTTCAAAGCTTCCAATATGGGCATAACCTCACATGAGAATCAAGTAGGAAAATTATTGGCTCCCACAATCCTTAAAAGCCTGACATTTAAACCATCAAATAAAACTAAAGAAATACTTTAAAGTATCTCAGGGGTGGAAGTAATTAATTTAGCAGGAGGAAAAATTAAGAATCCTCTAAGAATTATTCTCTATTATCATTTTAGTAACATAACAAAATAAGGATGTATATACATAAAATGGCACCACAATCAAAGTGACCTCATCCCACAAAAGAAATAAATATTAGAGTAGACCTATTAAGAAAGAATCAACCTTAATCTGGACTTAAAAGTATTTGCACAAAGCTATCATGCTTCAGAATCTATTTCTTCTGGCATTTATGAAAACACAAAACAATAAATTATCTCTCTCAAAAAAACCCACATACCAATGAGCAAACAAACAAAAATGACAGTATTGATAGCAATTTGACAGGCAAAAATGACTGAAAGAGAAAAACAGAAAAATTTAATGTGAGCTTTTTAATGATAACACACAGTCTCCAGATATGGCATAAATAATCCAGCAAAGCTTTTCCCATAGAACCTGGAACCTTCTAAATATTATCTATTCTTATTCAGTTGTTTCAGGACTCAGGTTGTGGTAATCTGGGAGAGACTTCTGGCCATCCATTCATTGTGGTAGCTGATAGAGTTGTTTATGACCAGGGCTATGTAATAATGCAAGGCAAAGCCATCTGATCTACCAGTGGAAACAGCGCCTGCTGTTCTGGACATGGGAATTCACAAGCGTCTGCTGGGCCAGTAACCTGTAAATAAAATTCTTTTAGCCATTTCTCAGATACATCCTCTCTCCTGGGTCATACTTAGGTAGATCCTTCTTATATCCCTTTTATATCATCTACTAGAGGCCCGATGCACGAAATTCGTGCAAGGGGTTCGCCCTCACAGCCCCAGCTGCCTCAGCCAGCCCTCACAGCCCTGGTTTCATCTGGAAGGTTGTCCGGAAGGTAGTCCGGACAGTTGTTCTGCTGTTCGGTCTAATTAGCATATTAGCTCTTTATTACATAGGATATTTATATTGTTTTTACTCATCTCTTCTGTAATGGGTATAAGGACTCATTGGAAAAGGAAATTATTGAATGCTTTACATTTTTTTAATTTTTTTTTATCCCTCCCCCACCCATCTCGAATGCTTTACATTTTAGATCAAATTCCCTTCTCCAGTGCCACAGAGTAGAGTGTGTGTCTTTATTTTGGGTAAGAGAAACCCAGAACTCAAAGTCAGAAGCTAAAGGTTTTAATCTTCTCTGACTGGAGTGACAGGAGGAGGGGGGAGGCAGGATAATATTTATTGGAAACTTAGAATGTGGCAGATGCCAGCCTGTGTGCCTTGGCATAGATTGTTTCAGTTAAACCTTCTAATATCTGTTAACTTTTATATTATTATGCATTTCATTTTGTCAGTGAAGAAATTGAGAAATAATCACACAATAAGTGGAGCCTGGTCTTAAATTCAAGCTGTCTGGCTCTATTATGCTTTCCTGACTTGATATATTCTGAGTAGAAAAAAGAAAAAAAGTGTATTAAATAATCTCTGTACATGTAAACATTTATGTAGAGTTTAATACATTCGTTTAAATTATAGACTCGGGCAAAATTAAATACATAAACCTTAGGAAAATCTCTACTGTGTTTCCCCACCAGGTAAGATTATATATGAGTTTAGAATGTATTTTTCTTATTCATGATTATGACTTTCAGATAAGATAAAATGACAGAAATTCTGGAATCGTATATGAAATTTTTTTATTTTTATATCTTGCCATTAGCTCATTTTTAATATTTATGCTATTAGTCATGGGTATTCTGTGCTGTTAGTTTCAAGTTTCTATATTACACTGTACTGAATAGGAGCCATCTCAATTAGTTGTTAATTGAATTATGTTTTCTCTCTGAAGGCAACTGATCGAGAGGGAGACCCAATAACATATGCCATTGAGAATGGAGATCCTCAGCGAGTTTTCAATCTTTCAGAAACGTAAGTTGAAAGTGATTTCTGAATTTATTTATTTTCTTTTTTAAATGTTAAACAATGTACTAGTAGTAAGAGAACAGACTTCTAATTAAAGGCTTTCAGCAGTTTGTAGTTTACTTTAGATTTTTCTATGAATATTAAGAAGAAGCTGGGGAGGGGGTGGCAATTCTGAATCCAGAAATTTTACCCAGGAGACTATTTATTTTAAACATTTTCACTAGGTAAAATCCACTGAGGTGGAAACGTTTTATTTGCAGGAATAACTTGGCAGTAATTAGATCCCTTTAACGTTGTCTGCTACTCATAATAACAATGACATTTCTATAAAGAGTAAATTGTTCATTCAAAGGGAATTTTGTAAAACAAAGTACTTTACATTCAAACAAATTTAAGGTACCAGCAAAGTCCATCATTCAACTTGTGGATAATGTAGGTATATTCTAAAAATGTTAACGCAAAAATATTGCTTGTCTGTATGTTGCTTTGGGGTCTATATAAGTGTCATTCTACTCACCTCTCTGAACATATCAAAGATAATGTTAACTAAAACCATTGAGAAAACTGGTAGCAGGCATTAAGAAAGGATTGAGGTTTGTGGAGAGATTATTTGCTTTCTTCTGTAATAGCAAAGTAGCTGTTCTGTTGTAACATGTGGCTGGTTGTTCAGGAGCTGTACTCGCTGCCTGTCTGGTGTTTTCTGTGTGGTTGTGAGTGGTTTTACACCCTGAAAGAATGGAAACCAAAACTTATCCCATGATTATTAAATGAACAATTTGACAAATGGGCCACACATTGCTTCAGTCTCAGAGACATTGGTACATGATGTCAAACCAAGAAAATCATATGTGGTCACTTAGTCTTGTGAGGAATAGTTGCAATTTCGCATTGAATAGGATGTTACAACCATGAGCCAATATGCCCAGGAACTGGATTTTCCAGACTTCAGATTTTACAGATAAAAAAACTTCCACTTAAAAATGGAAAGACTTAACTATTTTGAATTTTGCCCTCTAAGTACATACAACTCAAAAATTAGCTATAACTTAAAATCATCATTAAATAAAGAAAAAAGTCTATAGAGGTACTTTAACAGTAATCAAGCCGATGTGGTACTGATTTAAGAATAGATGTACCAGTATGAATTATTAAGGATGAAGCTTAAGGGTCCAGAAATAACTCCTAACATTTATGGCCAATTGATTTCCAGAAACAAAGGGCCCGGGCAATCCAATCAGGAAAGAATGATCTTTTCAACTAATGAAGCTGGCACAGCATGCAAAAGAATTAAGTTGAATCTGTACCTCAGACTATTCACAAAAATTAACTCAAAGTGGATAGACCTAAATATAAGAGATACAATTATATAACTCTTAGAAGAAAATACAGAAGTAAATCTATATGGTTTGGACTAGGCAATGCTTTCTTAGATATGCCACAAAAGCACAAGTGATTAATGAGAAGACTGATAAATTGGATTTCATCAAAATTTGAAAAGGAAAAAAAAAGTGCTTCAAAGTATGCCATCAAGAAAGCGAAAGCCCACAGGTTGAGAGAAATTATTTTCAAATTATGTGCATGATAGGGACATATATCAAGAATATATTAAAAAGGATTAAAATGCAAAAATAAACAGAATTAATCCAAATAAAAACAGACAAGAACTTGAATAAACACTTCTCCAAAGAAGATATATCAATGACCAATAAACAGATGAATATGCTTCTAATCACTAGTCATTAGGGAAATGTAAATTAAAATCACGAGATACCACTTCACACCCACTTAGAATGGCTATCATGAAAAGGAAAGGAAATAACAAGGAAGGGTGAGGATGTGGAGCTGGCAGAATCTTCACATGTTTCTGGTGGAATGTAAAATGTGCACTCTGCAAAACAATTTGTCAGTTCTCTAAATGGTAAACAGAGTTACCATATAACTCAGCAATTTCACTCATATCTACTCAAGAGAAATAAAAACATTCATTCACATAAAAAGTTGCACAAACAATGTTCATGGCAGAATTAGAATTATTTACAATAGCAAAATACGGAAACAACCCAAATGACTGTCTACAGATGGACGGATTCACAAAATGTATATCCACACCATGTAATATTATTTGTTAATAAAGGAGAATGAAGCCCTGAAACGTGCTGCAGCATAGATGCAATTTAAGAACTTTATGCTCAGTGAAAGAAAACATTCACAAGACCACATATGATATGATTTCATTAGTATGAAATGTCCAGAAGAGGCAAATCTATAGAGACAAAAAGTAGACGAGTATTTGCCCGAAGCTAGGAATCGGGGAGAGAGGAGAGTGACTGCTAATGGATACAGTGATGAAGATGTTTTAAAATTGATTGTGGTGATGGTTTAGCAACTCTGCAAATATACTAAAATATATTGAATACCATACTCTAGGTGAATTCTATGATATGTGAATTTTACATTAATAAAACTATTTAAAAGAGAGGCAACCGTGAATATTTCACCTACCCTGGTAAGCAGGAAGCCTAGGTCTTTCTTTCTTACACTCTCTCTCTTAAAAATTTATATTTCTGTGTTTTTCCTTTGATGCTGAAGGATTTTACAGCTACTGGTTGTGAAATCTGATGAGCCATCCATTTTATAAAAGAAATTCTCCACTTGTTCTGGTACCCTGGCAACCATTTCTCTACTGTTTCTCATTTCTGCTTTTGAAATCAGAGACACCTAGGTGGGGTCACAGAAGTTCTTTAAGGTGTGGAAGATGTCAATACAGCATCCTCTTCAACTAAACTGACCACAGTTCTTAATGCTACAGCTCTTAGGTCAATTCAAACAGTCATCTCCTTAAATACAAACTGATTCTAGGAAGTGATAGGGAATAGAACATTCCCCCTTTCCCTTCTTAGTTCTTCTGGCTGGTCTAAGAATTAAATTGCCATGAGACAAATTAAAAGGAGAATATAACCAAATTTAAATTTAATTATGTATGTGCTTATAGAGATTCCGTAAGAATATAGGGCCTGATGACCTATTAGGCAGTTGAGGTTTGTATGCCATCTTAAGCAATGGGGAAGCGGGTGGGGATAGTTGTTTGGGACTTCTAGTGGTGGAAGGTAGTTCACATGGAAATGGGAAGGCAAATGTTTAGTAAACAAATATAAACTCTAACCTAATAATAGGGCACAAGGAGGACTTTGATCAAATGGACCTTGCTAGGTTCCTGTGTCTATCACACACTAATTCATATTAAACTATAGTTACCTGTGATGGTATCTCCCTTCCTGGAGCGGGTCCTCTATCTAAATTCTTTGAGGAAGCTAGAAGGAAGGTCAAAGTTTCTTCCTAAGTCATTTGTTTCTAAAAAATAACCAGCTTAAAATAATCAATACCCAACGAGGCATATTTTGGGGCAACAAACTTTGCTCCCCTTCAACAGGGAGTAGAGGGCAGATCCCTGTGATGATTGCATACCTTTTTTTCCCCTTTGGCTGTACATGCCTTTGATGTCATATTTACACATCCGTTGTCAAATCCAGAATCATTAAGATTCTCCCCTATGTTTTTGTCTAAGTGTGTTATGGTTTGAGTACTTATATGTAGATTATTGTTTCATTTTGACTTAATTTTCACATATGGTGTAAAATAGTGCAATTTCATAGTTTTACAGTTTCCCATTGCCTCAGCACCATTTTCCCTATTGAATGATCTTGGCATCTTTGTTGAAAACCAATTGATCACAGATGTATGGGTTTATTTCTGGACAATTCTATTCTATTCCCCAGGATACATGAGCTGTTTCAAATGCCCTAATTTCCCATGAAACCCTTTACCCCCTGGCTTTTGGAGCTCTTTCTATGCCTCAACTGTATCTTTTGCCTCAGGTGGTATCAGGTTACTCCTTTCCTTATATAATGTTTTCCAAAAATTTCCACTGCTTTTCTGCCTTGAGTGAGTTCTGAGTTAGACAAAACAAAGAAAGCCATATTATATCTTAGGACAGCCTCCAGATTAGTTGGATAGACAAACACAATCCTTTGGGAACTAGGATAGCTCTGCTCCCTCCAGAAACAGGGACCAGAGTGTCATAGTAGGAGTGGTGACTGCCATCTTCAGGAGTACTCCAGGACAGGGCGTGGAGACAAGGACAAGTGTAAATGCCACAGAGCTTTCCCACCATTTTTAAGTTGCCTTTTTCTTGACTCTGCCTTTATGAGGTTGCTGTCAACCTTTGACTGTTCTCCAGAGTTCTATCAAAGTTGGCTCTGACCCTTTCTGCTTCATTTTTTCAATGCTTTTGTGGAGAGATCATCTATCTTTTAGAGTTTAACCATTTTCACTGACATCCCTCTTTTGCAATACATTTTCAATCCTGTAAATTTTAAGTAGCACTATTATTGATGTATCAGAGGTGATTCTTACATATTTTATATATATATATA